TGTATAACACATACAGTTGTACTTTGCTGTTAGCCAATTTGAAAATTTTTCTTGGAGTTGGCATTAAGTGAATGCACATTTACTAATATGATGCTTGGTATCAAATCATGCTATTCAGTTGTATTTTCTGTGTATTAGGTGTTCTAGTTTATTCCCCCTGTATGAGGTCTGATTTGCTTATTTTTAAAAGAACCTAGGAAGGTTTATGGTGGCTCTATGAGTTATCTTTACACTCATAACTTTTTTTTTTTTTTAGCTGAGCCATCTGCCACCTGTTGGCAGCTCAGCTCAGGCTGGGACTCGAACCGCTGTTGCTCAGAGCTTGCACTCTTGAACGAGCTCTTAACCAACTGAGCCACTCGGCTGACCCTCACATCTTCTTACAAGTATAATATCCTTAATATATTTTTCTTAATCTTCTAGCACTTCGTCAGTTTTAAATATACTTGTACTCTGATTATCTATACAATGAGCTTATTCTGCATTGTTTTCCCTTCCCCTTTTTCTCCCACATTAGTATCATTTCTACTTTGTCAGAGTATGTAACACATATTCTTCTTTCACCCATCCCATTTTTACTTTAGTCTTATATCTAATTATATTCATTGCTTGTATCTGTCCTTTGGATAAAATTTCTCGTTATTGAGTAGATGCTTTCCCTGAGTAGATTTCTCATGAAGGGCTCACACAGTATTGAGCTCTAATTTCAAATTGTTTTTCTATAAACTTGTTACTTAAAAGACAGCTACTCTGGATATACAGTCCTTGATTCACATTCATTATTTTGCCTTGAATTTTCTGAAAATGCTGCTTCACTTTTGCTTTTTACTTTCATCTTGTGAGATGCATTTTTATTTTATGTGTCCCATCAGCCTTAGGCCTCCTAGCACATTGTCCTCTTTATCAGGCTGTAAGTAAGGAAATAAAGTTTAAGTAGTCTTTACAGCATAGTCCATACTGTAGATGTGGGTTCTGGGTTTATGTTGATGTCATCCTAAGGACAGTGTTTTGGGAAGATAGAGATAACTCAGATTTAGGTGGCCATGATTCTCCTCAAACATCTCTTATCTTCTGGGACTAATGTTTTATGTCCACAAGGAAAGATGGCATCAGATTATTATTGTCTTATTTCATAGATTTTTAAGATGCACCTCTCCCACCCAATTATCTTTCATATTGAAATGCATCTTACAACTAATGTCACATCACAGAGCAGTTGTTTTCTTTAGTGGCTCATAAAATAAACACACATAGTCCAGTTAGCGGAGTTCTGAATTATAAGTACTGCTATCTTTTCTGTCCTAGCTTGCCTCAAGGTCCCACCTTTCCTGAGTTGGAATCTCACTGCAGACAACAAAAAGGGTGCAGTCACGTGGCCCCTTCCTCCCGTGGGTTTAGTGGCAATGGGCTCCCAATGTTGTAAACACTGCTCACGACAGCCACTGCCTTTCCCAACAAAGGACCATTACAGAGCACTTGAGGACCTTCAGAGCACTTGAGGACCTTCTGTTTCTAAGAGAAATTTGCTTCACATTTGAGAGGACTGTTTTTCCCTCAGCATTTTGCCTCATTTTTATACAAATCTAATGTCTCTAGCAGATACTTCTGGTGCTGTACATTGTTGGATTGTGGTCACTCTATGGTTTTAATAAAAACTCTATTTTTGTTTAAAATGTGTTTCAAGGATTGAAATTAAATGTGCATTGTTCCATCATCTTTCCCAGGAACTTACAATCATTTTTTAAAAGTAGCAAATAAACAGCTGCAATTTTGACCTTGAAAGTTAGAAACGGAGCTGAAAAGTTACTATCCTCATCCATTTACAAAATAATAGTTCTGGTATTTCTGTAGTTCTATGTGGTCAAGGCTTAAATCCATAGGAACCTAGGAAATTTCAAATACTATACATTGAAGTACTAAGAAATTAAGTGAATATTTTCTAAACTCCCATCCCCCATGAAAGATACCATCCTAGATTTGCAAAAGAGTACAATCAAGACACTACTCTGTTGAATACATTACATATACAAACAGACTCATTATTGGGAATGTAGATTTATTTCATTAAAAACAAACAAAACATTCACCACCCCAAAGAGAACTGTATTCTTTAAAGCAGCAGCAGCAATCACAAGGCACATATGTAAGAAATACCTCAAGCAAAATTGAAACCAAACATTAAAACATGTATTATTTAAAAAGATGGTGAATACAAGATTACAAAAATGACATTTTTAAAGCAATTTTATTCCTTTACCTTTGATAAGAAAAGGAATAATGGTGTAACATTTATGCAACATTCTGTGGCACATATCACAGACATTTATACCACCTAACGTGGTCTGCTAAAGAAAAAAACAGCTAAAGGACACCTTAAAATTTTTATTTTTAGTGCTTTAGATCACTTTTTGGATATTTGAAATGCATAAGCTGAAAAGAAAAAAACCCTCTCATTTTCCTTAGTTTAGAAAAAGCCTGTGGTTCTATGTCCCTGGGCAAACCCACTATACAGGAAAGGGATACATTCAGATAGTCTAAGATATCGAGGATGATTTATATTTTGGGATCATCATAACAACCTCTTCCTAAAACAGATTAGAATTCAACACACAATAAATGTAAAGGTCAATTATATTAAAATAAAATAGTATCTGATTTCAATTATTGCTCACTTAGGAAGTATAATGACTACTCTCTGGCTAGGGGTGCTAAGATTAGCTGTTAGAAATGGTATAACATCAATCCTTAGTGTATATAAAATTTCTAGGATTCAAATATATAATAATGAAAAGTTGATAATAATTGCAAAGAAGTGTTGCTTTATATATTAGCCACCATTGAGCTTCACACGATGAAGACCGAAAAAGATGTGGCTAATTAGGTCTTCACGATACAGTTTGTATCCTGTATGCTGAAGTGCCCCCTAAGTGGTAATGCTGCAGGTGTTTTCTATGAAATTTTGTGCGCTTACAGAATCTTCACTAGAAGGTAGAGAAGATAAAATGAAGCCCCATTTTTAAACATGACAACAAAAAAAGAATATAAAATAGTATAATAAAACATTTAAACAGTACTAAACAGCACAATTTAAATACCAGTTATATGCTGTCATTAGTTTTCCTCTAAAAAGAAAAATCAGTTCGTGGGCCTTTAGATGTGTTTTCTTTGTAAAAATATCCAGCATCCTTCTCCGGGTCACACAGTGAGTCCACACCCACAGCACCTGGCAGCGACGCGATCTCTGAGATGGCCCCTCACCGCCACTCCAGCGACACCAGCCTGTCCACACATCGTGTGGTGGGTGGTCCCCAGGCCGAGGCTCATTACAGCAGCACTGCCTGGGCCACCTCCTTGATCGCAGCAGCAGCTTTCTCCAGTTCCTCTTCTGTTTGTTCCACTGTGACCACAACTCTAATGCTGAGAAATAAAGGTCACAAAAAACCCACGGGTCAGCCTGCCACCTGTGTCTGTGATAAAGCTGTACAGGGACATGGCCCGCCCAGCGCTGACCTGTGGTCTGCAGCTGCTTTCTCAGTCCTATGGCAGGACAGGGCGTGGTGGCAGGGACCATGTCCCCTAAGCCCGAAACACTGATTATCAGGCCAGTTACAGAAGTGTGCGGCTCCCCCTCAGAAACTTAGCCTGTGTCTACTCAAAGTGACCCTGCAGTGGGGCTCTTGGAAACTTCAGTCTTTTAAATAATCGACTGCTCCAAGCAGTACTAGGCCCAAAGCAAGAATTCCAATTTCTCGAATTAACGAATTGTCTAGTTGCTCATATTTACAATTTGGTGAATCATGTGGAAGTTCTATAAGTCTGAGGCAAGGCAGACCTTTTCAAGTTTTCTGGAAACTGAAGACAAGAAATATCAAGTCCTCAGGGCAATCCTACGTCTGCCTCTCTGCAAACATCTGCTTTATCTAGGAGACACACTTCCTGGGCCGCACTGGGTTGGGCACAGCGCCTGAGGCACACAACAAACATGGCTGGTCCTCCGACACACTGGGTCATGTCCCTGGATGGGCGTAGTTAGAAAGGAGGGCAGAACCTTTAGGTGCTTTCCAGCTGCTGCCAGAGCAGCCTCCCGTGTGAGCAGCATGCTGAGTCCTCCTGGGGCCCCCCCAGGCTCCCTCCCACTGTTGCCTCTCTAGCTTTGCCCTGGCCCACACACCTGGAGGAGCCAGGCCACGGCTCACATGCTCTGCTGGAGGGCGGGTGCCCACCAGCTGGTCTGACATTCCCATTTCCCACGCTCGGCCTACACACTCCCTGCTCCTGGAAGCCTAAGGCCCGCCCAGGCCAGAACTAACCATGGCCTCCCCCTGTGACCTCACGACCCTGTGCCATGACCCTGAACATGTCATGCTTTGGGTGTCCATCTCCTTCAGCGACACTAAATGCTTAGAGGGGCAGGACCAGGATGTTTGGTTAAATCCCGACAAGGGTCGAATCCCCACACAGGGCTTCCGGAATTGCTGGGTGTTCCCCACTGCTTTATTTCCTGGGTGTTCCCTAAGTGTTGGCGGATGAAGTGCCACGCGGCGTCGCGGCCAGAGTCGGGGTGAGCACTGTAACTGGCTGCCCCTGTGGGACTGTCCCCTGGTAGAAACTGCTGGCAGAGGGGCTGCCTTAGGGACGTGCTTGGTGTTTGGTATGAAAACCTCCACCATTCCACTTCCTCCTTAGGGTCTCAGACATTTCTTTCAGTCACCCAAGAGGACACTGCGAGTCCTGAGGGGCTTTTCAGTTAGAATCTGAAACATCTAGTTTCAGAAGAGAAGACAGGTGATGCACTATACTTTAATGACATGCTCTCTTCCTAGCCTTGGGATGGTCTTCCAAACCTGTGAAAACATGATACGTTTCATACACTGTAAAGCAGCGGAAGGTAAGGTCACACCTTAACGTCTACCAACCTTGGAGGAGGGAGGCACTTCTCTTCCTTTTCCAGGTAGCGCGCCTGGGTCAGTGCGATGCCCTTGTTCATGCACTGCATGGAGACAAGGAGACATTTACACCGGGCGGCGGACACTGTGGCGGTGACGGCAAGGAGGGGTCCCGAGATGCTGTCCTCCACAGCAGCTCTTAACTCTTTCTCCAACGCTGACTGCTAGGAGACAGACTAAAACACCGCCCCGGCCCCGACGGGCAGCGGCACCGCTGTGCAGACCTTCTGCAGTGATGGAGGTGTGTGTCCTGCACTGCCTGGCACAGCTCCACGAGCCGTGTGGCTGTCAGGCACCATAAGACATGGCGAGTGCCACTGAGACTGAGCCTCGTCATTCTGAATTTAAACTGAAAGGGCCACAGGTAGTTAGTGAGTACCGCTCTGTACAAAGCACAGCCAGGACACAGGAACCAGCACTAGCCAGGCCTGCAGGCTAAGCGAGGCTTGGACTCAGGAGTAACGCCCTCAGAGCTTTTCAGGGAGACTGCTCACTTCACATACCAGCCACACCCCAACTCGTGTGTGCTACCAGGCAGAGGACTCGGGGGTCACACAGCTTAGTGCATCTTTCCAGGCATTAACCACCTGCTGATGCTTTTTTAGATGGAAAATTATCAAAATAAAGGATAAAAACCAGGTCAAGGTAGTGGGTTATAGGGGTTTCCTTTTTGGGGTAGTGAAAATGTTTTGGAATTAGACAGTGACGCTGCATAACCTTGTGAGCATATGAAAAATGACACAATTATATACTGTAAAGGGTGACTTTTACGGTATGTGAATCATGTAAAAGCAGGTGGTGGTGCGAAGGAGAGAACAATTATGCCCGTGTGGCAGGAAGGTTCTTTGTTGGAAGTGGGCCACTCTGGAAGCCATGAGGCAGGTTCTTCTCTGCTAGGAAAAGGTGGAAACTACCAGCAGGCAACAATGATGGGCTTGTGCTGTTTCCACATTCTGGACATGTACCTGGGGACGTTCACTCCTCCTGAAGATGCCTAGACTGGCTCTGTTTCTAGGCTAGTTAAGGAACATTTTTATAAACCACCCCTCAGTGTGTCAAGCAACTCAACAAAACCTCAACATAAACCTCTCAATTCTACAAAGCTTAAACAAGGGTCAGTTCTTTCTTCTCCCTTAAATGTTGAAAAGAAAAAGCAGAGAGGCGTGGAACAGAAGATTTTAAGATGGAAGCTGTGATGATGCACAGAAACAGTAAGAGCTCTCTCTTCCTTCCCCCAAATGCAGTCTCCAGTTCTGCTGCCCCCTCGGAGACCCGTTCTCTTCTCACTCAGCTCCCAGGGCGATTCCCTGGAGGCCGCCTTTAGAGCGGGGATCTCAGCTGTGCACTGACTCTCCTCTTCTCCTTCACCATGAGGACAGTCTACGTAAGCACCATGTGTGAACACCGAGCCATGGTCTCACCTAGAGTGTCTGCAGTACTCACTGTCGCACGAAGGCAATCTGATTCAACTGACTTTCTTGCCTTGTCCACCTGGCTTCTATTTAATTTATAAACCTGTTTTGGTATCTTGTTTGCGTAAGAACTTTAACCCCATGGATGCTTATTTCCTTTATGTCTGTACACATTTAAGGAACATTACAAGAACACGGAGGCAGTAAATGTGGTCTGTGGGACGTTTGTCCCTGTAAAAAGCCTGTCTTTTTTCACATTTGCAGAGCAGTACCTGAGGGGACACCTGTGACATTTCCTTACTCAGCAGGTGACAGTCACTCTGGCCCAATCGTTCATAATCTGACACATTTCCTTAATTAGGAATCTCACATTCTGAGTTTGGTTTTACTTTGGATTTTTAAGATGACCAATTCCAGAAGACCACAAGCTGCATGAAACCCTCTAAAGTCGTCATTCCAGGTGACGAGGTTCACGCATCATAGGAGACGGGATGCCTGGAAACCAGAGGCTGGCTGCACACTGCAGCCCCCATTTTGAGCAGCCACGTGGATGGGTAAGGGCCCGATCTCCACGAGCCCCAGCAGAGCAAAGCATGAGACAGATGGCAGCACCCCAGTTCCCCTATGTCAGGCAGCAGGGACTCAGAAAGGAGCCTCCAGAAGGAAACGGCACCAGGAAACAGAATGCAGCCTGCTTCCATCCTCAAATACATACTAGATGTATTTCAGATTGAGGTAAGAGGCAGTGCCACCCCAGGCACACATGCTCAAAGAGCTGCAGGGCCACTGGACAGTTCTTAGCAGCAGGAAAGTGAGGAGAGGGAACTCCAGGAGACGCAGCGCTGCAGGACAGAAGAAGGCAGTGGTTTTCCCCAGCAAGCAGTTTTTGGTTAATAACTGAGTTACAATGAGTAGTAAATTGACTTTCAGATAATAAAGGTATTGACGTCAACATCCCGAATCAGGCATGGTAACAAAGTAGCCTGCCTGCCTTCTTTCCTTCTTCTCTCCCTCCCTCCTTTCTTCCTTGCAACAAGACTATTATGGCCTGTGTCTGAGCTGCGGTGGGGGTTCACCTCCTGATGACCCAGTGTTTTGCGTGGTCATCACACAAAGTGCCGTCCCCACCGACATGTGAGAAAGCCTGGCTTTGTAAATGGTGGGCCTGTGGGTTTTCTGGAAGGCCAGTGATTCAGAGCAGAAGCAAAGTGTATTTAAACACAGTGGCACAGAACACAACACCTTCAGTGCGAGCTAACGCCGGCTCCAATGGGATGAACTGCACCTGTCAGGAGATGCGCGACGCCAGCTGGGAGGTCAGACGTGGGCAAGGCTGGGCGTCACACCAATTCCACACGAGGTGGCGTCAGCAACCTGCTTATGCCCATCCCTGGGGGCAAAAAGCCTTCTTAACAATGACATAAAAAAATGGCTTGGATTCAGGGGAGGGGTGGTACGAGGAGACTCACTTGGATAATTAGATACTTACTTGATTTACAATTTCGTGAAGTAGTTTAACATCCTTTTCTCTAGACCCAGTGCTCTCTTCTAGCTGCAGGTGAAATGCTGGAGAAAGTGCCTCCCCCACGACTTTTAATCCAGAAATGCTGAAGGGAAACACACACACACAAAAATCAAAGCATAAGTCCCTTCCAGGCTCAGATATCTCCCATGCAAATAATGTTACAGAGTCTGCATTAATGATTGTAACAGAAACAGTGACTTTTATGGGAAACGCCCTGTGGTGTGATTCCAATTCCGACAAAGAGGTAAAATGCATGTGCTGGCCAGCGGGCCTCCTCCAGGACCCCCACCACGCTGTTTCTGTGACATGGCTGGGAGGAAGGTGCCCATCCTGGTAGGCACCTCTGGTTCCCCCTGCCCAAGAAGCACAGGAGCTCTCTTTAGTCTCCCACCAGGAGGTCCACAGGCCCTGCTCCCTCACCCACCTCGGCCCTGTCACTGCCTTTTCTCATCTGCTCACTCCCGCATTCTTTCACTGCCGGTGCCAGACTGACCTGGGCCCAGGCCCAGTGTCACTCCCCGGAGCCTCCCTCATCACCCACTCACTACAGGGAAGGGTCTGCACCATCATTTTCTATTACTCTGTTTGTTTCCTTCACGGACAACTTCCTACAACTGACAACGTTGTTTCCTTGATAATTATCTAAGTCTTTAGCTTGTATCTTGTCTTTTCATAAATTATAGGGATGATTTCTGACATCGAATATGTTGTAATTTGACTTCCAACAATATGTTCAGATTGAAAAGTTTCCTTCTTATTTGCTTAATTTTAAATTTGACTTGAGTTAACAATTATTTTCTTTATTAGGATTAACAGCATAGAAATCTACTGCTTCTCAGGGAGAAACATTTAAGGGTGAAATCCTGTATTTTCAAATGATTATTATGGATGTCATGAGAATGGTGCTCATTTAAAGTCCATTTTGTCCTATAATAAAAATACTGTGATTTCTGATCTATCTCTTAGAACACAAGTGGTAATGCGTCTTTATTTGAAATTAGACTAAACATTTTAGATTGCTTTTATTTAGTTTGTTTCACCTGGATCTTTCCCTTAGACTGGAAAGAGTACAGAAAGCACTTGGTAGCATATTTGATTCCTCAAATATGTTTAGGACACAAAAATTTTTACTGAATGACTACCATATGCCAAATATCATGTGAGGTGCTGGGAGCCAAATCATCTGGCTTTCAAACCACACCTGAATAGTATCCATTTGTGTCTCCTTTCTTTAAATGTAATACACCATGCTATGGTCTCTAAATAAACCAGGCTGCAGATCTGAGTCATGGAATCTCAGAATCTAGGGCTTCCGGAATGTGGGAGAACCTTCTAGATTAGTCCTTTTACTAACTCAGAAGCAAAACAATATGCTTTCAAAATCCATATCCTAAGTGAATTTTGCATGTGTTAAACTTGTACATCATGTACTATCAGAGGTCATGTACTCTCAGGGGAAAACTTAAAAATTGTTTTTCAAATAGCATTTCATATGAATTAAATGGCCTGGATTTTTCCTAATACATACAAGGCAACTGTAGCCCAACTGAGTCTGTGCTTTGATCAAATGGGCTCATCTCACATGGTGGGCAGAGGAGGCTGGTGGGAGAAAGAATGAAACAAAACGCATTCTCTCTAGCTGCCGGGACTGAGTGTCAGGTGAAAGTGTAAGTAAAACCAAATGGACACAGAACTATAGCTTGAGTTCAGAAACTTAAAAGCTGTGTTTCAGGGCCTATTATGCTTTTTAAAGAAAAATTGTGGAAAGGATATTATTTTATCCAAATGGGTAAATACCAAGCACTGGGCTAGGTCCCAGGGACAGTGCAGTCAACAATTCAAACATGGTCTCCACCATGTGCTTACAGTCTAGGGCAGTGGTTCTCAACCTGTGGGTCGCGACCCCTTTGGGGGTCGAATGAACCTTTCACAGGGGTCGCCTAAGACCATCGGAAAACAAAAAGATATTTACATTACGATTCATAACAGTAGCAAAATTACAGTTATAGAGTAGCAACGAAAATAATTTTATAGTTGGGGGTCACCACAACATGAGGAACTGTATTAAGGGGTCGCGGCATTAGGAAGGTTGAGAACTGCTGGTCTAGGGAGAGGGCTGGACACAAATAACTATCTGCTAGAACTTAGGACTCTTCAAGTTTCCTGCAAGGAATCAGACTAGCATAGGCTGCTGAATTCTTCTCCAAATGCAACCTCAGAGATGAGAGAAGAGAATCACTGACTAGAGGAGACCCAAAAAAAAAAAAATTACTTAGAAGTGAACATTGAAAATACTGCCTTTAAAAATTTTTATTTGGGCCAGCCAAGTGGCGCGCTGGTTAGGAGCTGGCTTGGGATGCCAGCTCTGAGCAGCAGGGCCCTGGTTCGGATTCCACATGAGGGCCAGTGACACTGCCCTCTACAGATAAGATGCTGAACAACAGCTCAACTTGGAGCTGGGCTGCCATGAGTAACCGGTGACGGTGTAGGCTGCAGCCCCTGCTGCAGTGGGCCGCCATAAGCTACCGTGTGTGGCCGGCAGCCAGTGTGAGCTGCCAAGAGCCGCTGTGAGCAGCCGTCCAGAGGCCGGCGACCAATCTGCCTCACCCAGGAAGAGCGCAATGATAATACCAACATGGGCCAGTGAAGCAACGTCCTCAACAACTAGACTGAAGAACAAAAGGACAGCAACTCGTCTGTTCCCTTTCCCCCGATTCCCAACCCTGTTCCCCTCCCCCAATTCCCCAATAAAATCTTAAAAAAAAAAATTATTTTTAAAATGTTTATTGAAGAATAAGAAATAAAACCAATAACCTAAATGTAAGAAGCTAAATTAAAAAGAGTAAGAACACAATTTAATGAAACAAGAAAGTAGAAAACAAGGAAGAAATCAATGAAAGAAAACATAATATGATAAGCAAAATTAAACTTAAAAATAATGAGCTAGGTAAAATTCTGGAAAGATTATCATCAAAATGCAAAAGAAAGAAACAGAAAATAAAATGGGGAAATAATGTAGATACAAGAGAGATAATCACAGACTGTGCCCAACCGAAAGGTCCCAAGCCTAGAGAGCCCTCAAAGGGGCTGGGTGTCCTGCCCAATTTTGAAGAAACAAACATCAAGCCAGGTGTTACGCAGTGGCTTCAAAAAGCAGGAACAGTGGAAAAACTGCTCAATCTTTTATTGAGGCTACCAGAACACTGATTCCTAGGTTACATAAGGTTGGCATAAAACAAAGTTACAGGCCCATTTAAACTGTAAGTATGGATATAAAAATTCGAATTAAAATATAAGCTAACTACATCTAACAATGCAGAAAAATAGAATGTAATCAAGTAGGTGTGTAGGCAGGAAGGCAAGGACGGCTCAACATCAGAAAATAAAAAAGTCTCCAAATCTAGGAATAATTTGATAAAGGCCACCCACCAAAAACCTATTGTATGATGTTTTATACTTAATAAGGAAACATTCTTATATTGGGGAATGAGAGAACGATGTCTGCTATTACTGCCACTGTTCAACAGATCCAGACCAATGCAATAAAAAAAGAAAAAGAACTAAGATTAAGTTCTTAGTGGCCCTCCTCAATTAAGAGGGAAGAGAAGGGCCGGCCGAGTGGCGCATTGATTAAGAGCTGGCTTGGGACGCCAGAGGGCCCTGGTTCGGATCCCACATATGAGGGCCAGTGACACTGCCCTCCACAGCTAAGATGCTGAACAACAGCTC